TCACAGAGGGCTGAGTGATACTAGCAATCACAGCATTGTAAGAGGGGGACAGTTGAACCTGGAGGCTCCACCCCTGTTTAATGATGGACGGTTTCTTTTCACAAAGATGGCCTCCTTTACTCCTCTCTCAAACCATCGTTCCTCTCTGTCCAGGATGTGAACATCTTCAACCCTGAAAGAGTGACCTCTGGCCTGGAGATGAGTGTAGACCTCAGAGTCCTGGCCTGATGATGTTGATCTTCTGTGCTGGTCCATCCTTTTGGCCAGTGGCTGTTTAGTTTCCCCGATGTAAGACTGATCACCCTCCTGACACTGAACAGCATACACAATATTACTTCGCTATTTATAAGACTGAGCTGAATACAGCTCCTCAGACTGAGGAAGTCCTTTGGATAAAAGACGAAACGTTTCTACTTTTTTTTAGGGATGCACCGATCCACTTTTTATTTTATTTTTTCGATCCGATCCCGATACCTAGATCTGAGTCTGATCCCGATCCAGTTCCGATATCATGATCATTGATTTTATGAGGCTGTAATAATCTGCTCTCAAGTACAATTTGTACAAATCTATGCATGCATGTCCAAAAAGGCAACTTGAGGTAAGTTTTATTAATGTTGGATAAGTTTTAAAGTTAGAATTAAATTCTGCTAACACAAAACATGTTTCTTTTTATTCCTAGTTTTAAAGTGGATATTAAAGTGATTAATTTAAGTGGTTGTTTTAAGTTGTTTTATATTTTTTTAAATAAGGGGCAGATATAAGAATTATTTCTTCTCTCTGAACTCTTTTCATTCAATGTTTTCTTTTTGATGATTTATTTTTTTATTTTGTTTCATTTAAATGAATGAATAAATTAATTAAATAAAATGTTAAATGGCTTCAAACACCTGCTAAGTTCATGACATAAACCAATCATTAATGAAGTTTTATCAACTTCTCTGTAAACATTTGAGCTCCGTGGTTTCAGCGACGTCTTCTTCTTGTTCAGTCCGAAGCAGGCAGTCTGATCTGGGGCAGCTGCTCTCTGTCTGTCCCTCCTCGGAGACGGAGGGACTGAGAGGAACAGAGTGGACGTGGCCGCCCCGGGTTGAGCAAAGAGCAGCGCCCGCTGAAGCCCCGGAGCTCGAATGTCCAACGTAAAACTAACTTTACCGTGGTTTAATGTGGCGCTGTGGCTCTGCAGACAGTGCACGTTGCTCTTGTTTTGTGGTGTTTAGTGTAAAATACTTCCACACAGCGACATGTTTACATGAAAAGTTTGTTAGCTGTTAGCCACAGTGCTGCTAACTCAGCCCTCACGTTGTAGCTGCTGCAAACTATGAACTGGATTTCCTGAATGTGAGGCGGGTCTTATTACTCTGGGTTCATGAGACACGTTCAGGAAATCCATTCCGTAGTTTGAAGCCAACGTGCATCATGGATCGGAAAATCCAATACGTAAATTATGTTTGTATCGGAGGCCGATACCGATACTGGATCGGATCGGCCCCATCCCTAATTTTTTTGTTTTGTTTTTTGAATGTCCTGAGGACCAGATTCAACTGTTTTAGATTTTTCTACCTGGATTATTGAGCAGCTTCAGGACATGCTCACAACA